GTAATATTTTAGATATGTGTTTGATGACTTTGCATTTTTTTTTTGTATTTATATCAAAGCTACTAAGGCTATCCACCACCGTAACTAATTTTAAATACTGACCAGGTAGAAGACAGCCAGTTAACAATGCCTTGTATGTCTGCGGACTCACAACACTAGAAACTGGGTTTCGATATCCGTGGAGTGCAGAGCACAGATAGCCCAATGTATAGCTTTGTGCTTAAACTCCAAACCGATACCCTATACCATCCACTCTACACACTAAGGGATTGACCATCACACTCATAACGCACCCACAGCTTAAAGTTTGGAGATGTTGTGAGGTATTGCATATGTTTGATGAAGCCTTTTTATATACTCACGCTATAGAGTTCGAACTAAGGTTTTTCTTTTTTTTTTAAATTATTTTGCCTTACTAAAAATAAAGCCAAATTTATCATTCGATTTACCACTTGTTGTTGAATGATACCGGTTTCAGGGAAGTCCACTACTCATCAGTAATCTTGGTGAAAGGCAAATCGGCGGAAAAAACAGAACTAGGCTTGATAGACTGGTGTTACACGTATGGTGTTTTGAGATTTTTATTCACGCAGTGGTCCAATATTTATATCAGAATTTCAAGAATGTGCAGCGTTGATACTACTAATTCATTCTTGTGACGACAAACTGTTTAACGTACTAAAAAGATTAATGCGAAGCCTAATATATCACTCGGTTTACCCCTTGTCACTAAGTTAAACCGGTTTCGAGGAATTTCACCCTGCATGTTCTTGAAGTTCCTACATAAATGTAGGATCATTGTGTGAGTACAATACAACTGAAATAGTTTGTAACTTTGACTAGTACACAAAATAAATAAATAAATACAGTGAAATTTACATCGTATTTAGATAGCAGGAGATATAGGCACTTCCATTTTCATGTTTACAATGAAAACAGAAAGTATCAGGTTGACAACTGACTGAACTTTATAATGATAAGTAATGCAGCATGCCCAGTTCCTTATTCACCACATATACTTCTCACCTGTGTTTTGTTTTAAAGTTTCTTTTATATACGCAATCAGTTTTTCGAATGATATCTTACTAAGTGTTTCAATTTTCTTCCTTAGGTGTTTCTTGTTTTTCACGTTTCACGAAAGAGGACTCTTTACAAAATAACGGATCTTTGACAATCTAGTTCCAGTAACGAGCGCAGTATAGACAGTTCCAAGCTCTCATATGCTTAACTGGTTAGGCTTGGTACTATTTTTATATGGAAAATATAAATAATTCACGAGGTACTATTGGAATTACGGCTGAGATTAACCAAATGATGCATCAGTATATTCAAATCGTAATAAGTTTTAGTTTTATGACAACGCACTCTCGTAACTAGAACTAGAATGTATTAAATTAGCTACGTTATTTGATAAGCTAATATTTAATTCTATGTTTTATGATTAGAAATTAATGATAATTGAATGTTGATGAATCAAACTTAATCATTTAATCCCAGGTGACTTTCAACTTTGTGCATAGATGGCTGAGCCTAATGATAGTAAAGTGTTAGATGGTGGTAAGTATACAACAGCAAAGCAGTGTTAACGGTTACTTTAAGACCGATATCGTGGCACATCTTTAATGGTATGTCTTGTATTCTCTGTCTTTACTTCTCTCACCCTAGTTCACTCTTCTTTTTTCTCAGTCTCTACTGGCCAATAAAGATTTCTTCAGAAGTCCATTAGTATAGCCAGTTAAGATTTAACCAGAAGCATATTATTCTGGCCAGTAAATATTTCACAGCAGCCAATTACTTTGATCAGTTAAGATTTCATCAAAAACCTGTTAGTGTGGCTAATTAAGACTTCACCAAAAATTCATTAGTCGTTTTTTTAAATGCGTGATTCTATTTCTAAGTACCCCGCGCACCACAAGCAAAGACTTCGGATGACTGGGCGTCAGGTCATTTACTGTGAACGTCAACGTATTACCTACAATTACGAAACATCAGCATCCGACCCAGTCAGCTGTTAGAAGACCTGACCAAAACGAAACAGGTAACAAATGTTTATTTGTTTCAGAATTTCGCGCACAGCAGAACAAGAGTTATATGTGCATAGCCATTTTAAATTTTGAACTGATAGACTAAAGGGAAGAAAACTAGGTAACAGACTCCACCACCAACACTTGAGCTACTCTTGTCTAACCGCCAATCTTATGACGCATTCACAGCTTCAAAGCGAAAAGCGTGTTTTACAGCATTGGTATGCAAACTATGAATATTCAAATTCACAATCCGGCCACGCAAGATATTGAGCCACAACGGTCCTAATAAAAAGTGAAAATAGGAATTGAAAGATCACTAAACACGCACATATATACAAATTTGTGTACGTATACATATAAAACGCTTTTCACACAAAAAGACAGAAATGAAATTATTTACAAACGAAAGTTTCAGCATTATTTAAGAGAACATATTTAAGTACACGCGAGATAAAACAGCCCATTTTTTTTCATTCCTGTAAACTCCCAGTGGAGCTTAGGGCCGCAACAACAGCTCACCAACGGAAGGTGTTGTTGCAGTTACTTGTAGCAGGTTGGTTTTTACGGGGTGGAGTTGCTAGTCCCGCGCCCAACCCTCCTCCTTTTTCATCCTGGACTTGGCAAAGGCGGAGGTTGGTATGTTTGGTGTGACGGGGATTCGAACCCGCGACCCTCAGATTACGAGTCGAGCGCCCTAACCACCTGGCCATGCCGGGCCTAAACAGCCCATAGCTACTTTTAAAGACTTTCTGTACAACGCTCCTTGTTGATCTTTTCTTACTCGAGATTTAATTGTTGTAAGTGTAATGCGTAGTGCATGACTGTAAAGTGTGATATTTCTATTTAAAAAAAAGACGAAAAGTAATGTGTTATGTGTTAACTTTTAACACTTAGTATGATATAGTCAAAATATTTTTTGTGTTGGGTAAATAATGATACTTTCCTTTTTCTTTGAGTTCATTAACAATGTTTGTTAAAATGCTGAAAATAATTCTTATTATTAATTTTTATTCTATGAATATTATTGTACATTAATAACCTACCATATACGTATTTAGGACTAACCCAAATCTTGTAAGATGCTAGTGGATTGTTCAGCGCAGTCAATTCATTATAAGTTTTGTATTGATTTATGACATTATATAATTTTCGCTAGTTTGTTATACAAAATGAGTTTTATTAATTTATAATATATTTTTCAGTTCTGATCTTCATACTTGGCTAACATTTGTTCAAAAGTTATTAATAATAACAAAAACTGTAATTATTTTTCAAGTTTAACCTTCTTTTATTCGGTTTCTTTTTTTGTCGACTGTGATGGTACTTTACGCCATACTTGGAAAACCTGTAAAAAGGTCTCACATATTGCACTCACTCTTGTGATACACGTGGGCCGGGCGTGGCCTAGTGGTTAGCGTGCTATGAATCCAAGGGTTCATGCTGTAAAACAATAAGCTCCGAAATTAGGTGCCGTGGGTGAGCTATAAGAGTGATGGTAAAATGCCACTATTAGACAATAGTAGTCCAAGGGATGACGATGGGTGCTATTGGTTACCTACCTTTATCAGATTTTCTTTTCAAAATTAAGGACGGCCACGCGTAGATAGCCCTTTGCGCGATAATTCCTATCGAAACAAACAAATAAACACAGAAAACCGATCATTACGCTCTGCGCCAATTACTGCTGGTGATGCTATGTGGTCGCACGATGTTGACTAATGATACAAGCACAGCACGTAACGATTTGTTTGGTATTGTATACTGTATTGGTACGTCATTCACAGAAACAGGCCCGATAGTTTTTGAATTTTCTTACGAAATAACAACGATAAGATTTCCTCAAGAGCTTACAACACTAAAATTTGAGACTGAGCAGAGTGCAAATGGCCCGTTGTACAGCTTTTGGGTTTAAAAAGAAACAATGAGTATCAAACCAGTCAGATACTTTAGGGCTTCGAAAGCTAAGGTGATTATTTAACGACCGGGTTTCAGTGAAGGGATTAGAGTTATGGAACAAGGTGTCTTTAGGCGAACCTAAATGTGCGATATGAAGATGAACACGTGTATCATCTGTGATGTACCGTCTACAGATCTCGCTACAACCGTCTAGTGAAACGTTTTCATGATTACATGGTTGGGCTACATAGCTGTAAACAAGTGTTCAGTAAAAGTAAAAATTAGCTGTGTTGTCAGTGCAGTTCTGGGTAACATTTTTGTTAATCTCGTGTATCTTCATGGTCAGATGTTTAGAAATTATTGAGAAACGTGGCATAAAGCTTCTCGTCCGTGAGTGATGAGTTAGTGCCACGTGGATTTGGTAAAAGGATGGGTTTATTTTATTTCATTCTTTTGGCTGACTTTTTTTCTTGAGGCTAGCATTAACTTTGTGTTCTTGGAGTGTCTGTTTAATCACCATCTGAATGAAGAATTTTACTTACGATTTAAGATATGTAGGTTCCAGTAATAGGTGGTTTTGTCGATTAGTATATTATCTTTAGGCTTTTCCTGTTTTAAAAAATCTTAATTTTACCTCATTTGTCTGTGCAGAAAAAAATAAGAAGAGAGAAAGTACTCCATGATTGGTCAGAATTCCTACTAAAACTGTCGCTGTTTATTTGTATAGTCCTCCGGTGGGACAGCGGTAAGTCTTCGGATTTAGAATGCTACAATGAGAGGTTCGATTCCCCTCGGTGGATACAGCAGATAGCCCGATATGGCTTTGCTATAAGAAAACACACATACACACACATAGTTTGTATAAAAAAATAAATATGCTAAAAGTGCAAAGCACATATGAAACTTACCGTCATAACTAGAATACTTTTCTTCATTTTCAAAACTAGTCATTTATTAGGTTTGTGATAGTCATCAACCATTGTATGTTTGTCGTTATCTGGCAATACTAATATCGAGGAAATCAAACGCACGCGTATAACCAGTGACGTCAAACGCGCGTTCCTTGGTATTGTGATGTGACGTCAAGCCTCGAGGCTCAGGAAAGGGTCAGATCAACATTAGAAGTACTAAAAACTAACACAGGCATTTTCCGAAAGAAATGAAATTCATATAGTGATATAAACTATATCAGGTCATGGATTGAAAAAACAATTCCCTACTAAGTGTCTCCAGCATGAATAAGACACACTGTTGAACTCGGTTTGAGCAGATCTGTCAATCACTAAGTGTATTTCAGCCAATAGTGTTCTTCCTCTATAGATACACCCTGTCCTTGTATAGATGCTGAACTACGTTACCGTTCTCTGTCTCCGACCCGAACGTCGCCCGGTGTTTCGTACACGCAAAAAGGCTCAGTTCTTGGCTGTACCGTTCCGCATCCTAACGTTTAGACGTTTTTCTAAGCTGGAGTGCTTTTTTTAGATCAAAATTGTAAGTATCAGTTTTTTTTCTACAGATAATGTTTTACCTTTCTCTCTTGAAAACTAAGTTTAATTTCTTGTTTTTGTATTGACATTCAACCAAATTACCATAAAAATTCTGTTTAGCAGAAAAATAGCTGAAACTCTTGTTATTCACATCTGAATGCGTATCTCTAATAGCACTTCGCATATTTTACAGCCAACTCGTTTTCTTTTACTTTTTTAAAATTAGAATATTTTAAATTTATAACTGTGTGTTCTCTGTACATTCAAGCCCTGTTATTATAATATGTTCAGATCTACATATTGTTTTTCCTCTTTACAAATGTGGTATTTGTTATGATGATACTTCAGATCCAGAACAATTTTGCTTTCTATCTGAACTTAATCCTTATAATTAACATTTTTGATATCAGTAATGATATTATGCTCTGATCTAACTATTCATAGTCTGTTAATAACTTAGACGACATTGTAATTTGCATTAAAAGATCTTAAGACAAATACCGCTCTTGTTATTTGAACTAAATTTATAATATGCGTACATTTTTTTATCAGAATATTTTCGATTTATAATCGTTAGCAAAGAATATTTTAAAATTATGCCTCATTTTTTCATATTGCTTATAAACTACAGCTTATTGTTTTTAACTGGTTAAGAGCTGGGCTTAGTAGTTAGCAGGATCCATGGCTCGCTTCCCACTGCTGCGAAAACGCGCTTCGCACTTTCTGACCGTAGGTGTGTTATAAGAGGCCAGAGTAGCCTAAGCGTTGACAGTGTGTGGTGTTCACTATCTGTCTTCCCTCTAGTTTATCAGTTTAAAATTAGGAACGGTTAGCACCGATAGCCCTTGTGCAGCTTTGCGTGAACTTACGAAAGAGTAAAACAATTTGATTGCTTATGCAACGTTATACATCAAATATTCTTTAAAAGATGTTTTAGATGTCGCGTAATGATAAAATTTTAATAGTATAATGAGCTGTATCCTCCTATGATGGTTTACAGACGACGTTTCGAACTGTTAGTACCCCTGCACAAATCTTCATAAAGATTAGCACCAGCATTTCGAAACGTCGTTTCCAAAGCGCCGTGAATAGCCGAAACTCGATACACTATCAACAATGTATATATAGAAATAGCTCATCCAGCATCAGCCCACGGTATGTCTGCGGACTTACAACGCTAGAAACCGGGTTTCGATAGCCGTGGTGGGCAGAGCACAGATAGCCCACTATGTAGCTTTGTGTTTAGTTCCAAACAAACAAGGAAATCATTCGACATCAAGGTCATTTCATTCGAAACCTTTATTAATATAAATGACATACCAAAACTGTCAATTGCACAGGTAGAGACAATAACAAATGAAACATTTTAAACCAAAAAGTGCCAAACATTGCTCCACAACAGCTATAATTATAAGCATAAATAATGGTGAAGCAAGTCTCCCAGTAGGTCAGCAGTAAGCTTACAGACTCACATTGCTAAAATTCAGGGTTCGACTTCATGTATCGAACAGAGCGCAGACGGCATATTGTATAGTTTTGCACTACAGATTTAAAAACAACAGGTGAGGTAAACATCCTAACGGTATTGCGAAATGGTGACAACAATCAATAGCTGTGTTAAATGTGCTTCCCAAACGTGACAAATGCCAGTACGGCGGATTCGTTGTAAATATCGATTGCTATATTCTTGGTTTAGTTGCACGCACGGTATCTATACGTAAATGAGCCTGTAGTACGTAGCCGCTGACAAATATTTCCTAGCATTCGTTGTGATAATGTTACACTGTTCTTCAACTGAATACCGTGACACTATTTAGATGTTTTGTGGGGCAGTTGCAGCACAATTCTTTTGTGTTACCTTATGTAGGGGGGATTTTATTTAAACACCTTTTAGCTTTTTTAGCCTTCAAAGGTGCAATTACCTGCTGATTCGAAACTCTGACGTTGCACTCAAACTTACGTTTGTGTGAAAAACTTTGCTGTGGTCGGATTTCGATCCTATATGGCATAATTCCATGTACAGTCTTGGCCAAAATGTTTGCATATTTTGTAACAAATCAGATCATTATTATTAAGATGGAATACAAATACACTTAGAGCTGTCAAACTTTGAAATGAATGTTATATTAAACATCTACATATGTAATCTGTATAATGAGACAAGTTCCATGGACATCTTGAACGATTTGTTAGAACAGCAAACAGTTTTATCAGACACCGGTAGAAAGATATGTAATTCAGCATTTCACCTATCACAATAAAACTTTACCAAAACATATTTAGTAACAAAATATACCATTAAATTATTATAAATAGTGTCTGTAGCCTTATATCAGTTCGTGTTCAACATTGCCTACTGACCTTTGAATTCTATCAGCCCCTCTATTCTTAGTAAAAGGTCGATATATCGTTAGCTGTGAGTAAATAAGGTTGAAGTGTTATTTGGTATTTTATTGCTTTCAATGTTAATGACGTCAGTTACAAAGTACACACATATATTCAACTTTGTATTTCCTACTTAACACTGTGGTTTTGTACACGTATGTGATATAAGTTACATGCATAATGTAGAAGAAATTTCAGTCATCAAAGATTTATGTTGCTATTCTCCTTGTACTCTAAGGCGATGTGGAATGCTGTCGATGAGGTTATTGATGTAATCCACCGTGATTTCATCCCAGTTTGTCAGTAGAAGGCGATTCAACTCAGCTACGGTAGCTGTTTTAGGGTTAGCAATTTTCCGGCTCAGTTCTACCTAACAGTTCCTAATGGGATTACAATCTGGAGACTTTGCTGACCATGGCAGTCTTGTAACTTACTCCTGGTAGAGATAATCCTGTACAATACGTCCACTGTGAGTAGTAGTATTATCATCCTGGTACACAAAATTATTGTCAAACCTTGCTCTAGCCTATGACAGAAATATCTTCTATATGTGATGCCTGTGGGAAGAGCCATTGACGTTTCCCTGGAAGATATGAAGAGCATTTTGTACCATGATGAATAGCTGCGCAAACATATACTGAACCACACCCTGTGTCTTCCCTCATCTATTCTTCAGGCAAATGACGAACACTAATTCTACTATCAGCTTTATCAAGCCGGAAACAGGACTCATCTGAAAAGATGACATGTCGCCAGTGTACTAACTGTAACTTCGCAATCTGTCTTGTTCAAGTAACACAGTGACGGAAGTGAATTCTGGTTAATATCGAATTGTAGATAACCCTTCTTGCAAAATAATCTTATTTGGCCAGTCTACTATTCACTGTTCTTCTAGATACCCTGTAATGAATGTGTTCATGCCATTTCTGTCGTAAGATGTTGTTCTTTCGACCTTGACGTGTTAACCTGATCAAAATAGGTAATCTTTGGCAGTAGTTTTCGGCGTCTACCAGTAGACTTTCCTGGAACAACGTTTCCAGTAGTCCCTACTGTTCTGGCAATGTCCGTTTTCTTCAAACCACTTCTGGACAGTCGAACAGTTTGACGCCCTGTTACTTATGGCACGTGACGAGGCACGACTCTACACCAAGTACAGAGAAATTGTCTGAACAAAGCGTTGATTTATTTCGAAAAAGATTATACAAAAGTACACAATTTTATTCAAAACAGATGTGTATGTGTGTTTTGATGAACAAATGCTCAAAACAACTTATACAAACCAGAATAACAACTCGTACATACGCTACCTTCTCTGTTACTATTCGGGCATATACTCAATGACTACTCCATGCATGTTGACAATAACATAAATATAGAACAGTATGCAAACATATTGGCCAAGGCTGTACATAGAAGGGATGCATTTATATATATAACCGATGTTATTTTCGACTAATTTGGGCAGTGTTTGGTTCACAGTGTTTCATTTGTTATTGTCTACGCCAGTGGTCGGCAACTTTTTTTGATCGCGGGTCAATTATTTTTATTTTTTTTGAAAAATTTAGCATTGTGTTGGGTCAGTGAT